CAAAGATGTTTAGCTCTGAGGAGTCTCCACAGCTGGGTGACAGCCAAGAGGCAGTCCATTCTCCAGGGTGCTAAGAGGAGGCAGAACCTCTCACAGGAGCTGAGCTCTTTCAGCATAGCCCTCACACTACACTTCCAGTGTGCCCACCAGAGGCATGGCCCTATGCCAGGCACACACCTCCTCTCCCACACAGCACAAATGTGCTAGCAGGGCCTGACAGCCAATCTGGTGATCRGCTTCTGTATTCCACCATCGCTCCAGGGACAAAACTGAACAAGAATCCTGTACCAACACAGAGCTCAGTTCCCCCTCACCTGTTCCAAAAGTGGAGTCTAGCTTACTAAATGCCATGGAAGAAACAGTCACCATCAAAGCACAGTCAACTTGAAGATAACATTTAAATATTTRAGAAGTGAATGCAAATAAAGAGATTCAAAGTGAGAAGGCTCAAAGGTTAAACCTGTTTTGGGCTAATGGCAGTAACTTTTGCAGCAAGACTAGCTGCTGGGAAAAGCAAAGAAGTGGAGGGCTAAAACAATAAAACTGAAAAAACTGAACATGCCACCTTCATGGGTTTCACTAAGACTTTAAGGCAAACTCTTTGCAGGTTGTAACTATGTGACTTGTGACTATGTTTAGATTTTTCAGCTCATGTATGAAAAATTAATAATTTCCTCATTTGAGTGAAAAGTGACACTTGAACCTCAACACACAAATGATCGAGCTTTCACTKTTTCTTAGTATCTTACAACATAAATAATTTACACCAAAGAAAGTGTTTACAATGAAACCTGAACATTGTTCTCCAGGAGCATTCAACTGTTAYTTTTGCTAGGGAAAGCAAAACCAGTGACAGAAAGGAAGTTCTAGCTTTAGGATAATACAGAGTATTACAAATACTTTATATAGTTTGCCTGTGAAAAAGAGATGTRCTGCAGCACAAAGCATGGCTCAGCACAACTCTTACAGTATGGTCCTTTACAAGAAGCACACCAGCAGGCCTARAACTTGAACTACTGGAGACAGGTTACACAGCAGGGGCATCCCCAAGGCTCTGAGTTTCAAAGGTAGCTGCTCTGAAGTTACCAGTGGAACAGGCACAAGGAAAYTGTTAGAAATCCACTTTTCTTATCTCCTCCATGATGGAGATAAATCAACAGCTGTGAGTTTTGTATGACACACTGGAAGCACATTCCTAAAGGTCTCTGCAGCACCAGTTAAGTCTCTGTGAGATAAGTCTCCAGCCTGCTGGTGGTCCAGAAAAAYGGCAGCACCAGGTCACTTACCCACTCTAATATAATTCCATTCCACACATAGAGAGACATACAGACCCCACCTGGAAAGCATCATCATTGGCAAGGACTGCTGACAAGGATCCAGGGTTAGGCAGCTTTGATAGGTTTCAATTCTTTACAAAAAGGGCTCCTCTACAGTGGCTGAAGCAGCCAAACAAGCACAGGATAGGAGGAAGAGGAAAGCAGCTTTTTACCATTAAAGTGAACATAAACTAAGATAAGCAGAACGTTGAGAAAGTTAGATACTACTCTAAACATGGCAGCAACTTCCACTTGAAATCCCTCCCTACATCATCTTTCACACTAAACTGCTATATGGTCTTTCACTGTTTCTCACCTGCCCAGATCACCATCCATAATGTTAGAGCACTTAKAGACAGGCACAGCCAGTGCTCCAGTAACTGGCATCTTCACCCTGATCTGCTTCTGCCTTCAGATTTCGGCACTGAAGCTTCAGTCCCCAGAGGGCMTACACACTTTGTAACCCCAAAATTCTTAAACTCTGTCAGTGTCTCACAAGTCAGTCTTGTTGCCCACAGAAAAGTCTCAAAACCTTGATGCTGTAAAAGTATCCTGCATTCAGACACTCTTACCTAATCCTGAAAAAATAAACACACATATATTTTTCTACTGGAGTTCTCCCTCCCAAGGCCATACTATTCTCAACTGTTCTGATCTGTTTACATAACTAAAACACTACCATCTTTTAGGATTTGTGCTACTTAACCACCAAGTCACTAATTGGCTTTTTAAACCACTAGGATCTTTTTTGCAACTCCACCTCTGGAAACATTCACCCTCCTGTTTTGCTGCACACTCCTATCTCCCCTCCTCTCCTTCCYAGAATCTTATCTCTACTGTTCCTAATTCACCTTCAATCTATTCTGTCATCTTCCTACAAATCCCCATTTGCCTCTAGTCCTTTTCTATGCCTGCAGAGTCTCCAGATAGGTCMATTTCCTTCAAGATATTCTAGTTTGACCTAAACCAGAAAAACTTCACCTGTTGTCTCATCAGCTGATATGTCTGTTAAAAAAGAAGCACAACAAAAGTTGTCTAAACAACAAAATTGGTAAGAGCACAAAAAAGTGGACAGTTTCATGTCTGACACAAAATTCTTTAAACACCATGTTCATCTTTTTCTCAGAACGTAGAAAATGTTCTTTTCTGTGCCCAAACAAGAAAYATTTCCCAAACAAGAAAAATATTCAAGAAATTGAACTAAGATGACTRTCTAGACCTAAAATGCTGAGCCCACAGGATTTCAATATGCTCTTTTGTTACCCTACTGTTCAATTCTTTGGCTTCTGCTCCCACTGAAAAGCTTCTTACTATGCCAGGTGAATAAACAAACCTATTGTTGCATTCACAGCATCACAYTTTTAGAGAAGGAGCACAGAAGGCATCTCCATCCAGCACCAGCCATACCAAAGTACACAAGCAATAAGGGAGCATCCCCACATTTTCTTGAGATTAGGCAGTCTTCTCAGCACAGGAAATCCAGAAGTTCCCCTCCCCATTCCATAATAAAAGGATCACTGTGCTAGGCTGGCCCAAAAGCTCATTTTATTCTTCAACAGTTTAGCAACAAGCCCCCTCCAGCCCAATCCATCTAGCACATGCTGTAACTCATCTATGCATCCCCGTACCTAAGGGGTTGCTTCAAATCCCTTCAACAACATCTGGAAGCAGTCCTCCAACTCCAATGCAACACTTTGCAGAAGCAGAGCCTCAGGAATTCCTGTTTGCTAGGGAAGATGAATGCCCTCCAGAGGTTTTAGTTCATTAAAAGGAAAATGTGTTTTTCAATGCAGATCAGCACACAGATAAGCAGGTACAACCTCTTGTGACAATGCCATAATYCTGTTCCAATTACTCTCACAAAGGTAAAACATTTCTGAGCTTGCTGTTCAGGTGCCTTTAGTATCCTGTCTTCACTCCTGACTACAGGCAGCTTGTTCCCAGCAGTGTTCTAGCAGTCCTCATCTAGACTCAGATTGCTGAGGTTAGCAGTTTGACAGATTCAGCCACAAAAGACTCAACAATCTACAGCTTCCCACCTTGCCCTACCACTCGTTTCCTCCTTATCAACCATGTCAGCGTGCTGAGGTCATACCCACAGCTTGACACACCACACACCAACCYATTCCAGCAGTATTTGCAGTAATAGCCCAGGCTGAAGTTTGCCATAGTTCCACAGCAAATTTACTTCCTGCTCTGCCATCCCCACTGCAGAATCACTATGAGCTGACAGCATAAACAGCAAGCAGCACTTCAGTTAAACGTAAGGGCTGGAGAARCAAAGGCAGACATGGGTTGCACAAACGAAAAACATTCCACATATGCTAAAAAAATAGTGCCTCAGCTGCACTGGGAACCAATGCAGGACTGAAAAGGGACAGAAGTAGGAAAGGAATTGCCACAAGGTGATAAGCAAACTTTCTTCTACCCCACTGTCAGGACTTTTTTTATGATACTAGGGAAAAACTCAAACTCTTCTCAAATGATTGACTCAAGCAAATAAAGAGGAAGGATTCAGTGAAAATAGGAAGAAAAAGACAGAGAAATCTGTATCTTCAGCCTAGCAGGCAGCAGTCCTCAAGGGACACCAGGWTGGTGTTCAATCAGAACCTGGACTGTAGTTCACAGCTAGTTTCTCCTGAAGAACAAATGACATTCAGCACCCCTCCTGCTTCCCTCTACAATGAAACTCCTACCGGTTTCCATCTTTCTCATTCTAACCCAAGAAGCTACTGTGAATTGGACCAGACAACTCTTGAGGTTTTTTTCTAAAACAGATTATTTTCATGCTAGCAACCATAGCCAAGTACTGAAAGCCCCCTAATACTACGTGTGTGTGCTACTACTCTTCCTCCCAGGAATAATATTCAGGCATTGAATAAAAAGAGAGGATTCAGATGATTCCATCAGTATTTCTCTTAACCCCCACTTTCTGAATCCCAAAATTTGAGAGGTGATAAAATTCCCCTCCCACACCTTTTAACTCTTCTTCATTCATCCATTCCCCTCAGATTGTGTTCCTGTGTTCCTTTTTCATTTTTATTTTCAGAGCAGGGATTAAAGTTCAGACTAAACAGATCATATTTCAGAGTTTAACAAAATCAGAAAAATTTATTTTATACATTTAGAACAGATAAGGAAATCAAATATACTTCCCAACTCCTTCCAAAGTTGCACATATTCATAACATACCCACTGGAAAGACTAGACTTCTTCTGAGCACATGAAATGAAAAGCAGTAGTATTCAGTGGAATATACCAACAATCACGCTGAGATGTTCACTTTTCTTGATTAAAGGAAACAAAAGATTTTTTTGCCTCAACCTCAATATGTCCTGTCAATACTCTGTCAGCCCCTCAAAACTCTCACAAGCAGCATCTCATGAAATATTTATTCTGATTCGTTGTTTTCTTGAGYCATTTGAAGTTAAATGCTGTAGAAGGCACAGGGATCCCTTCAAGCACGGTGAAARATAGGAAGCTGATCTCCCTCTCTCAAACTGAGGGCAGCTGTCTTTCCCAAATACAAGGGTCAGAAATGAAAATGGGGCATAGAAATGAATCTCAGCCTATCCAACACAGCAAAAAGGACAATGGGAATCCAAGCTCACAGCCACTTTATATTACCCAGTAAAATATTTCACCCATTTCCCATAATACAGCAGTGAATTTAAGTTTACTCACATGCAGATCCTTTGGATTTGCTTAGCCAACCTAGGACAGACAAAAGGAAAATTCAGGATTATTATTATTACGCTATCACGATTTAAGCTAGCAGTTAGCACCAAACATCACAATGCTTTAATTCAYTTTTTAGCCACTGGAACTCCTTAATATTTAACAAGTCATGTGGCTTCTTGAGATCCTTGTTACACCCTTCAAGGCATTTASTTAAAAATGCCTGAATCAGTGTGCATAGCAGGATGATTATTACTATTATTATAATTATTATTATTAGCATCATCATCTAATTCTGAGACCATCTGCATCTGCTTCCTAGCCATCTCTGCATMGTCATCATCATCATCATCTGAGACCATCTGCTTCCTAGCCATCTTTGCAGGCTGGCTGTTATTCTGCAGCTCCTCACCAWGCTCTTCCATATCACTCTGCTCTTATTAAGCTCTCCAAAGGGAGTCAAAAGCAGAATTTCTTCTGAAAATGCTYCCCCTTCTTTCCATGAAGAACACCACACTGCTTTGGGCTGACCSTGTAAGTTCTCCAAACCCACACTTAACATGAGGCATTGAGATTAGAATCAAGATCATATGTTCATGCATGACACCTTCYACATTTCTGTCAGGCCTCCAACGCTCTAGTGTCCTTGTTTTCATGGCCATTGAATTCATTCCTAGCTGTATAAACGCCTTCCTTTCAGCTACATAATCAGAGACAAAGAAAAACTCTGCTTTGCACAGATTCCCAAAGAATAGGAACAAGTCTGAATCTGCTCCATGAGTGGAGCACGCTCTAACAAGCTGCTCCGTGCAATGCAAACAAATACCAGTGGTATCCAAGAGCTTCTGTGCAGAATAACCTTGGCACTGAAAAGACCTTAGAACAGCAAGCAGCAGATTGGCTGCATTTGCGTCAGAGACAACACACAGGAATGAAGTCGTTTCAGTTTATTCAAGCTCAATTTATCACTTTAATGGCAATCCTAAAAATTAAAGAGCTAACTTTAYAGCATTTCACACGTGCAGACAAAATCAGACTGTGTCTAAATCTAAATGGACTTAGATTCACTAAGCCTGCATTATTATTATTTTTAAAGGTTAATATTTAAACTGTCTCCTTTATGGGTATTGATATTTGTTTAATTCAGGGTGTTTAATACTTTTACCAACACATTTATTTGCGTTTTCCAGGATCAGGGGATGTTATTATCAATAATGAAAGGCCAACCTGTTTTGATAGGCTTCTGACAGAGCCAGTCATGACTCCAAGAGAGATTACACATTTGGAACATAAATCACAGGAAGCTTTCAGAGTATTTTACACACTGCATGTTAAAATTTAATGAATAACTTAATCTGATCCACTGTCATTCTTCCAAAAATAGCTTTGCCAGGTAAGAGGACCATTGTGAATGAGATACAAACATAAGGCTTTAAAGGACAGAGATAGGAGGGACCAGGGTGGGGGGAAGAATTAGAAAAACAACAGCAACAAAGAATGGAGAAACATTATCTGTGGAAATGCAGACAAAAAGGCTGCCACTGCCCCTCTTCAGCACTTCAAAGATTCCCCACCTCTATCTACTAAGCATCCTGGCTCTTAGTTTAATTCCAGATGAACCCTCAAAGAAACAGAAGAGACAGATGAAGAACTATGCTTCAGTATTACTGAGAAGCTTTCTAAGTCTCCTTGCCTGCTCATTCCTTCGCTATTTCCCACAAGTAATCTTGGAGAACTTGCCAGACAAGGAAAAATGGTACAACAGTGATAAAACCCAAAAAATATTTCTGAGTAGCACTCAAGTTTCCATAAATCCTCCTCTTCTGACAAAGCTTCACTGCTTGCCCATTACCAAATGCGGCGTTTGTTTTGTGTTAATATATGTGCAGTGGTTATTTTAGTATCCATGGATATCTTCCCATGAAAAGGGAACAGTTTCCTCAAATTCTGCAGTGTGTTTAGTGACTAAGCAACTTATATGCATCTCATGGTACTCGAGGATATTTGGATAGAATGCTTAAGACACAGTATTGAGGATTTTTCTTTAAAATCCATATATAAATAAAATCAATTTATTACCAGAGGACAGAGCAGATGCTTGCTGACTGAAAATGAGTCTGCTCTCTGCATTAACCACATGGCAAAGAGAACATCTTCCTGCCCAGATCATGAATATATCTCTAAGCTTCCTGGAACTTMAGCAATAGAATTTTTAAGCAGCAAAATTATTCCAATACAATATACCTCATATGGTTTTATATCTGTGAATCACAAGCTCTGCTTTCTCACTCAGAGCTGAGCCAGGCATTGTCTCCATGTCTGTCGTTTTATGAGAACATCCTTCAGCTTTTGTAGCAATTGTGAGCACATCACATTGGCCCCACATTCAAGATAAGCATTACAACCAAGAGATTTAATACAATCTCTTGCTTCATGTTAACATCGTTTTGCTCTGCTTGCTCTGAACAACTTCGCTACACAAAGTAATAAAGTGAGGATGGCGAGGTGGTGGGGGAACAAAGATGAGGGAAAGATGATTTTCCAAGCGCCTCGCCAGTACTCTTTGTTTCTCCATCTGGCTCTCTGCTCCTCGGCTGACTTGCTCATTAATGTTACTCATGGCTGGCACACTGCTGCAGGTGCAGCTCCCAGGGCCTGTGATGCATCATTGAGCACCCCCATCCCTCCCAGCAASTGGCACTCGGGTTGCCACCTCCCAGGCTCAGAAAAACCGTACATGGAAGCGCTSCTCAGCAAGCACTGTCCCAGGATTTTTTCCCCTGTGTTCTTGCCCTCTGCTATGATCCTGGCTCCGCTCTGTTTTCTCACTTCCCCTGCAGGAAGTGCGTTCTTGCCTAGCCACTATAATTCTGTTTAGCTGATGATCTGCCTTGAGCAGTTCACCACAACTGGTTTCAGATCCTGATGCAAAAAGAACACAGAAAGGGAAACACAAAGCAGAATCACTCTCGGCTCTTCTGGCATGCCTAACTAATGCTTTTGTAATGTGATTGGATGTCTCAAMAATTGTATTAAAAAGGCCTGCCAGTGTTGCGGCAGCTTTTCCCCATCCAGCAGCCCGTRCAGCACAAGGCATTTGCATACTGATTACAGTCTCAGTTGAAGGTGCTGCAGTGCTTAATGGGAGTTTCAGATGGTGATGGTGCCCCAGGCTGGGAGGCGTATCTGACAGACCTACATCTGAAACCAGGCAGTGACACTATCACCAACAACAGCAAAGGTGTAARAAAACATGGATAGATCAGATCCAAAAAAATATTGTACCCTTCCCACTCTCACTAACTATTCACAATAATTTGTCATGCTCTCAAGCAAGTCCCCCTCACCCCCTCATTACCTACAAGGCAAAAATGAGGTCAGGAAGACATATAAGCCTGGAGTATCTGATTTCAGCAGTCGCTCCCTTCCTAAACAAAGAGCTAGAAATAGTAAAAGGAAATAAACTCCTCCTCCAGAAGTTTTCAGCACCAGCAGAGTTTTCCATACAAGATCACCTCACCTTTGAGTGCATCTGGCAGCTAATGTTTATTCTGCTCTACCACACTGATGCTGAGGAATGTTGGTCACATGACATTCTCAACTGCCATGATATGTCAAATAAATAGGACTTTTTAGAATTATGTCAGGAACTGAGGATTTCTTTTCAAAGGCAAGCTAATGCTCTACATTACAATAGCTGGTCAAATCAAATCTATGTCTCTCTGTGGGATTAACTCCTTCAAAATTCTTGGAAGAGCACACAAAGTTCCTCCTTCCATCTCAAGCCTCCTATGACCAGGCATCTCTCTATAGGCAAAAACTACATCATGGCTGGTCTGAGAAAAAAAAGACATATTTCAGGGTATACTTGGTAATCAAGCACACATTTCACATCATGCATTTCCTTCTGAGTATCCAGTAGATTTCTTTCTTCCACTCATTTCTAAAAGGCAGATCTCTTATCTCTGATGACATTTTATATAWCATCCCATTACACTGCTATTTACACTATTCACAACACTTATCCATCAGAAAAACATCAAGAGATTAGGGGAAARGGAAAACTTAAGCTGATCTAACAGAGGGGTGCAGGTAGCAGGTGTTGAGGTGTCAGAAGATAGCAYACAAGGAAACACTGAACAGTTTCATCAGCAGTGCAAAAGAGCTGAACACAATCTCTCCTTCTACCCCTTTACGTGAGCAGTTGCTACAGGGCACACAGATAATATTGCCTACATGAGAATCTCACACAAGAAAAACACAATGCCTGCTCTTGAGATGGTCCAAGTGTCCCCAGCTACAGGGAAGGGATGAGAATGGAGGGGAAGAAAAGCCATAGGAATCAAACCTACAGGATGAAGGACAAGCACTTATTTACTACTATGCAAGACTCATTCAGYTCAGACACTTCACACTCTGCTTAACAAGCAGTGATGGAATTTTTCCTGTGAGTACAGAAAGATGTATACAAACACATCAACCATCACCAGTTTTCACCTAAAAATATACAGCAACTTCCAAACATATACATCTCCTCCTCCCTGTAGAATGTATAAAGATTTCACTTACCTGTGGACTGTGCTTCCAAGACAAAGGTACCAAAGATAACTAGCAGACGAAATAACCCATGGCTAGTCAAGGAAAGAGATGATCCTGTGTTGCTCTTTGGTGCTACCATTCCATGGCACATYTTTTACACACCAAAGTTTCTTTCTAAAAAAATCCTGAAAGATCTGGTTGATCAGGAGCACCTCAGTCTAAAAAAAAAAACAGAGACAAAGCAATGAAAAGTAAGTGTTGAGCCAAACACCTACAACATCTGGAGAGGGAAAGGGGAAAGTTAGAAACAAAGAGAAACTTTTAACATGTTCTAGCACTTAAGAATCTTACCAAGTACTCACACTTCTCAAGGAAACAGGAGCAGAAAAAGCAATCTTCTACACAGGAAAGACTAAAAGGAGTTGTGTTATAGAGAGACCATAACTTTTCACTCACTGTCTAATGTTTCAGACATGAAGACTGCCTAGCTTACAATTAATTTTAGCTTTTCCTTTCAAGACAGCCCCAGAGGACATAGCATCTGGAGGATTTGTTTCAAAAATTCTTCAAGAGAGACAGTCTTCCTACACCYCCACCACTTTTCAGAGGGTCTCCAAAACACAGCAGACTGTACCAGACAGCTGGGACAAATCAATCGAATGCTTCTTCAGCCACCTGGAGAGACACAGCAAACCTGACAGCCAGCCGGCAGGCAAACACACAGGAGGAGGAATGTAAAACAACTTGCAAACCTCAGGTATAATGATCTGACAGTACAGAGCACAGCAATTAAAATTGCAGGATGTGACACTGCTCATACCTGAGGACTGAGGGATTCACCCACAGTCTATGAGGCACAGTCACAGCAAAAACAGACTTGTACACAAATACAGAAAGCACAGCTGGGAAATAGAGAAAGCACAAAGCTGAACCCTTACTTTTAATGAAGAGCAAGCAGAACACATTTCACCAACTTATTATAGTTTTAACCTGCAAGGCCTCCAATGGTAAACACACCAACAAACAAARAACCAACCAATCAAAACACACCCAGGAAAAAACAAATCAACCAATAAAATAAAAACAACCATATGGAAAAGAAATACATTTCACCTTCCATCCTGCTATTCATTACACATCTAAAGCTCCCAGGTGCAAACAAATTTGCAGAAACTAATTGKTTTTTACACCTGGCAATAGGAATACTTTTAATTTTGGGGAAAATCCCATTCAGTTGCAGCTTCTTCAGTTAAATGAATATTCAGACTGAAGGAGGATTAGGTTTTTTAGGGTTCCTTCAGCAACAACTAGACTACAGAATGAAAAAAATACTCGATGAGAAGAAAGTAAAGACAGTCAACATCTGCCCCATCCTCTCAAGTCAGACCTCTCGCACAGCATCTAAGCTAACATTCAATCGGAGAGGCCAACCTCTGGCCTATACTCCAGGCCACCAGACAGCTGCTCTCCTCTAAGAGTCACTGTTCTACACAGAATTACGGCTCTGACAAAGCAATGCACCACCTTCAGCACAAGCTCTCCTGATTAGATCAGGAAAGGTCTGTCCTCCCTATTGCAATTTAATGAAGCCTCATTAGTATAACAAACTCTGAAAGTATTGCCAAGGTATCTTTTAAAAGGGGGCCCTCCTTGCCCGTGGAACAGTGCATGTCAGGTGACATAGCAGCAGCCAGAAGGAATTGCAAGGAAGAGGACATGCAATTATCACAAAATTTGCTGAGCTGACTGACGTGTGCTACCTTGGCCCAGAGGCATTTCTCCCCCAAAGACTGCACCTGGAAGTCAGTAGTCCAGTTCTGGTCTCTGAACAGACAACAATTCAGAAATAAGTAAAACAGGAATATCTTCTAGGGGAATCAATTATTGTTTATTCTTGATTCCCTAACAGATTGCTCCAAAGCACGGTACKGTTTGTCTCCGTCTTCTAAAATTAGGCATGGTTCCCACATCTCTTTTCAGCTATCAAGTCATTTGAATCCCAGGCTCCTAGGTATCCTATCACAGGACTGGGGCTGCCACATCAGGAACGCTGAAAATTGATGCTGCTCTGACCATGGTAACATCCCACTAAGCCCATTTAGTTCAGCGTGGATTTGAAGGAAACACAAGGGTAGCCAGCCCATTCAGTGGGTGACAGCACCGACAAACCTCTCAGAATTGTTAGGAGACAAAGGGTATAGGTACCACTTGTGAGGATCCTCCCTTTGGGCTTCAGCCTAGTCACAAAACCTGCTCCCAGCCTTGACTGCTCCATGGCAAAATTAGAAGAGAGAGATTCTGACTAGATAAGAAACCATCCTTTCTGCCCAGAGGAGAGGTGGTTTGGAAGCTATTTAGACAGACATTCAATTCTCTGAAAATTGACTGATGTTTTAGTCAGCTTATACCTACAGCTCAGGGGAAAGCAGCTATCATAACAATTCCTCAGACCTCCAACACCTGMCATTAGCTGGAGTGCACCGTAGATCACACACATTAGTCAGAGACACTCTCAGGGACAYAGCTGAACAATTCGAGAGAATCAAAGTATTCACAAAGCACTAAGGAATGGGTTTCTTTAAGAGATACTAGGAACAATGAGGCAGAAGCTGACAGTAGCACATGTATGCAGAGCAAGGGCATTTCAGACCCATTTCACATGCCACAGCCCAGGCTGAAGGGTTATATAAGGATTAAGTTTAAACAAAGATGTTTTCAAAGATAATATTTAATATAGCCAGCAGTGCCCATAAATACAGTAATGAGTGAAGGAGATTCTTCTCTGTTAAAAGTATACCAGTCAATAAGGGTGGAGGGTTTTTTGCTTTCTTTTTAAYGTGAACCTTGAGAAACACCTACTGAATATGGATAAGACAATAAACCATCSTCTATACCCACAAAGTCAACAGCCACACACCCTCTTAGAGAATTCTATGAACAAGTGAAAAGTAGCCATTGCTCCCAGCTTACAGACATCTCCAGCTCTTTCTTCAATTCTTGGCATCAAGCTTCCCTGTGAAGCTTCARCAAGAGTCCCCCTCGTTGCATGGCCAGCCCTGTTTGCACAGGGAGCAGGAATTTGCTTCTACATTTAGTCCTGAAGCAGGCATCAGCTTCCACTGAAACCATGAAGGCCAGACTTCCTGCTTGCTCTTAAACCACAATCAGCCCTCTGCAAAGATGACACACACACATATGGCAGGAGCTCTCTTTAAGATAAGCTCTTTGGGGACCTTTGCCATTTATCTTCCAGACTTTCAGAAACTGCAAACTCATATCCTTTGATTCAAGATCCCTTTACAAGCATGATTAAATTTTCACATGATTATGACTTAATTTTCTTATTTTGCTGTTCTGTCATAGCAGGACTCGTAGGTCCACATGGAAAAGTTTTCTTTGGAATGCCATATGCTCAGGACATGCTCTAGACAACCAGAGACTGGACAGTCTGAAGCTCTCTAGTTGCTCAAGGTGCCTKGCACAGCTATGTCCTCTGTCACTGTTGCTGGAAAACAGGTATTCAACCTGAATTCTTCAAAGTTTATTTAGGGAAGTGTTCAGAATGTTTGGAATGCTACTGGCTAGCTTTTAAATACCATACTTGAAACTTACCAAAAGAAAATTAGCTATCCTCATGCACATCAGAAATCTCTTATTTTATCCACATGGGTTCCCCCTCATAGAATAAGACTCAGACATTGTTTGCTAACTCTTGAATGCACACAGCAAAGATCTTAGCAGTGGCATGAGTGATGGGTGTGCACAGCACAGCTTTTGAAAAGCTAAGCACAAGCATTGTTCTTGCCTCACGGTCATGCTGCAAGTGGAATCTAATGTAATCAGAGGATTTAACCTTCAGCCTTAGCTGCTGGTTTTGTTGTATCCTTATTTTGTCTGCTTTCAAAGAGAAGTTAAGCTGTAAAACAAAAGTCATTCTCTTGGCTGTGAATGAAAAAAAAATGCTGAAAAATCAAGCCCAAGTGCCAGCAGAGGAAAAAAAAAATCCATAATTCTACTTATTTTCTGTGGTTAAACCAGTTTAGTTAAAAGCTTTTTAAAACAGAATGGTATTTTTAACATTTAGGGATAGCATCACAGTTCAATTACACTGTTCAGTTCAAACTAGGCACAAAGGAAAACAACAAAGCCTTTGAAGTTACCTGCAGGCAGTTCAGAAAAATCCTAATCATCTGACTTTTCAGGACAGCCAATTCTCAATTATTCAGRATAATGGGAAAAGGTGGAAGAGGAAAGGAGGAAATACGGAAAGCCAAACAACATCTAACACTCCCCTTCTCCTGCCCAGTAACCAGATGATGTGTTTGGTAGCTTCATTTTACACCTTCATATTTGAATTATGAAAAGGCAGATTTCTGCATAGCACAGTCACAGTATAAGAAGACATTCAAATGGAACAGACTCCTTGCTACAAAGAAGAATCACTAGGAAAGACCAAGCTGCTTATTCTGCAAACTGGAATCCACACACATCCTCCTGCAAACAACCCCATTGCTGAAGTGGAAATTGAACAGTTGGATTTCCTTCCTCATTCCCCAGCTGTGCCAAAGATTTGGCCTATGACCTGCAAATATGCCTGTTTCTTTCACACAGTTGTTTTGGTTTAGCTTTTACCTACTCTCTCCCATGCAGATTTCTAGAACATTTMTTTCAAAATTTTAAATTTAAAAAGAAACCCCAAGAAACTGAATCAATTGTTGGTGATGTACAACTTTCATATGCAAGAGGGAACATACCACAGTTTGCTCAGAAAGAAGCTTGCTGGACAGGTTAAACTCTGAAATTCCATTTTAATCTCTGATAAATGGCATGTGCCATTTATCCACAGACTGACTTAAGGCACACCCAAGCTTTAAGCCAGGGAACYGGATTTTTCACTATTGGATAACTAGTAACTTTACCTGGTAAAGTCTCACCAATATTCCTACCCCCAGTGAATAAACCTGCAAGATTCACCWATTAGCACAGCTTACCCCGCAAGCTCCCTCCCCTCTGTCATCCCTATCACAGACAATACAAAGTCCTTTTGGTATCCAGATCATGGTTTTGCACCCCTCTCTTGCTTGCCTTCTTATCTCACTTGAAGCTCCTCTAAAAGTCATCCCGAGGTTAGCTGAGAGTACTTTTTTGCAGGCTGATCGCAGGGAGCACTTCCTCCTGCTATCCCCCTTCCATGCTAACAGTTGGGTGCAAGCCTTTG